ACACACTTTGTCAAATAAGCAGCAGACACGTTGTGAACGTCCTCATCAAAAAGAGCTCGAACAAGGTACCGACGACTGATCTGGCAACAGCATAGCTTGTGGAAGGCAGGCACCGGCAAAGGTCCACAATCGTTTTCGAGCATCTTGACAATTGAGTTAATTGCTGCAGTCCGCGTCTTGGCAGCCTCTGACTGGCACATCTCTTCAAAAGCATCCGAGGCCCTAAATCCCCAATTCCATCCAAATAATAGAACATCAGCAGCATACATTGCTCCTGCCTCCTCTAAACAGGACAGTGTATGTGCCGCAGCATTTCTCACTTGGATTCTTGGTAAATATCTCGGATTCACGACACGAACACCCATCGCCACGGCCTCCTCCGCACCCTCGCGCAAGAGCTTTGCAACGTCACTCGCGTGGGCACTGGCATGGCGCGTCATCCAAGAGAGCGCACGAAGGGAGCTCTCTTTCACGGAGCTGTCCTCGTTTGTTAAGCAGCGTGCTATTGCTGCTGCAGTGTTTCGAGATGGATAGGAGGCTGCCAACTTTAGTTTCTCCACAATTTCAGCTGGTTGGGTGGGCCAACTGTTCAGTACTGTGATCTGGTTTCCATGTTGCAATCCAAGCGTGGATAGAAGCTCGTTGCTGTGGATCTCTTTTGCGCCTGAGTCGCAGGTCATGATCAATCGCTGAACTGGCATGGGGATCTTCAGCATCCGCTCAATGGCACCATGAAGCTGGTCCACGCATCCAGATGCAAGGGCTGCAATGGTGCAACTTTGGCCTGACGGTGTGCACACCGTGACGTTGATACGTCCTGGCAGGGTAGTCATGGCGCTGTCTTCACGGGCTCGTGCTGAGGCTCCTTGGGAGCTTTCTACGGGCTTTTCCGCTTGAGCCACGTATATACCCATGTGTATGTGCATATATATAATATATAGTCATCGCTTTATCCACTGACCTTGGCAAGCTATGAGGAAATATATTGCCAGGCCTGGAGGTAGACCTGCCTCATTCAGAAGCTCTGCCATTCGCATCAGCGTCAAAGGAACCTTCAATCACCACAGCATACAACGACAAGTAAGGAGAACTCATCAGAGATATTCTTTCGCAGGCCCGGGGCTGAGGTGCCGTGCGACTAGAATATCCCACAAGAGTGTTGTGTCAAACAACGGTTGGCCGTTTGTGTTTCAATACCTGTGTGCAATCGGGCTCGTGGATTTCTATCGGGTTTTGTAAATGACGAAATCCTGTTTCAGGTCCTTTTGGTCCTGTATGGAGCTGCGGGGTCGAAGGCTGCAAATGGAATGTAAGCCCCGGGCTGCAAATCGATTGGGAGGTGTTTCAGTGGGTTTCCAAAGCAGCATCAGGGGGTTCACTTTTATGGTTTTTGGATGTGAAATCCGTTTTTGAGGGGTTTCGCATTGAGACCGTTTTTGTCCTGTTTCAAAGGGTCTCGCCATACCATACCCTCCAGTCTTCATCGCTGTCAATGTTTGATCTTCATGTTTAATGTTTCTGAGCTTCATTTCATTCCGAGAGTCCACACAGAAAAACAAGAAACCCAGCCATCTCAGACTTGGACTCATGCTGTCTAGGTTTGCAATGTTAGTAGCAAAAGAATGGTATGTGACTTCATGGGTCAGCGGCATGGGCGGCAGCCCGATCATTTTTTTTGTTTATATGGTAGAGAAAAAGCAATTCGCCTTCTCACTTGGCTTGATGATAAAGCAATTGCCGCATCCAATGGCAATGGGGAGCGTCCTTGCCCAAGCAAACGTCAACTTTGGGGAAACAGTCACTTCTGCTAGAGAAGACTGTGTTCAGCAAGAGAATCTCTTTGCTAAGAAAATGTTCTTGCTTTCACAACAGTTACTACAAACCATTTCTTGCCACAGCTCCAAAGTGGCACCATGGCAGGAAAATTGAATGGCACGATGGATGCAACCACTCCAACTGGCCGTCGGACCTGCAGCTGAAAGCATGCCGCTTCCTACTAGTAACTCTTCCAATACACCTTCTCTCCGCAAGTGTTCTGGAAGAGGCATCTGTGCCTCGTGGCACCAAACACCCCGAGCAACCTCAAGGATGCGGCCAGCCAGGAGATCTGGCAAACCCGTAGCAAAGGACACAGTCTCAAGACCTGCAAGGAAAGCAGCTGGTAGGTAGTAGCCATGAGGCCAAGTACAGAAGCTCAAGGTTCCTAGATCTTCTCAACTGATTTGGGCATACCTTTGACAAACGGATGTGGACAAGACCTTCTCCGCGCCCAACTCGTCCTAAATTTATTTGAGTGTCCATAGAGGTCCCACAGCAGTGAAGGTTGTAAAAGTGGTGTAGCCCTGCTGCCAAGCTTGGGTATCCAACTTGCAAAGAGTGTGGATCAAATCAAAATCCTGGATCTTAACTGAATTTCCAAAGTTGCCGACCCACTCCCTATACTTTTCTGAATGCATACTAAACAGTTGCAAATGGTCGGTGCCCAAACCCCTGCAGTCCTTTGAGCACTTCCGCTTCCGCTTCTCCGCTGTTCTTCCCATGCTCCTAGCTGACTTGAGAACTCAAACTTGTGCCAGCTTGTGAATCTTCAGAAATGTTGTAAATGAAAATGGGTCAAAGTCACTCTGATTTACTGTGCCAGGAAAGGGTGTCCTTCACAACCAGCGCCGTGAGTTCAGCCAAATGAGCCTCGCAAAGGCTCTTGAATCGGAAGAGGATCTCAACACGGGCTTTGACCTGCAGCGTCAGAGTTGCCACATGAGCCTTTGCCAAAACCTCCTGTCAAACAGACGACATGATAATCGCTTTTGAGGCTGAGGCTGTGCTAGTTTAGCGGTATTGCTCGAGCTACGGGGTTCCCCCGAGGCATCCGCGCCATAAAAACGGTAAAAATCATTGTTTGCTTTTGACCGATTTTTCCCGGGGGGTCCCCCTTTTTTACCACCTCGCGATAAAAATGATAAAAAATCGATATGTGTTCCCCCTTTTTTTCCGAGGGGGGTCATCCTGTTGCTTTTAACCATCCGCGAACCGGCTTTGCTTTCAAGGGGGGCCTATCGCTTTTGCAGGTGTTAGCCCAATTCCTGAAATTCACTTTGGCCGTTGCTCAAATCATGTCACTCGAAGTGTCACAGCACTGTCTCACTCCATTGAACCTCTCTGCACTCAGTCTGTCATCGAAATCTCAAGCTCTTAGATTGGAGGCCATTGCTATTAGGTTATATACGGGGGGGTTATTCTGTCATCCAAATCTCACATGATTGTGACTGAGAGGGTCGAACCGGCGTGTCACGCCAGGCTGGATATGCTGCAAGGGCTGCCTGTGCAGCCTGTTCCTTGGCACGGCGTCTTGATGAGCTTGCATGCTTGCTTGCCATCTTATGATTTTGTAATGCCACCTGGTCTAGAACCATGGATGTGCGGGATTTTGTGGGCTCACAGAAACCGACCAGCATGGAAAACGGAACCCAACACGCTCGGATCACTATGGATAAATACAGAAATAGCAAGCACTGGAAAGCGATGATGGATAGCGCATGCGCATCCTTGAAAGAGTTATCAAACAGATCGCGACTCTGATGACTGTGGTGATTCTAGATCAAGCGAGCGGTTTTCCAAATAGGGTCACACCATCGAAGGGAAAGTCGAAAAGCAGGTCATGCTAAGGTTCTACATCTGCCACTGTCCCATCAGGGACAAGAGCAATCTCTTCTCCTGTCGCAGGATTTGTCACAGCAATAGTTGCTCCCGCACTGGAAGCGACAAATTGTCCGCCTCAGCTGATGGTCAAAAAGAGTAATTTATATATGTGACTTATATGTAGTGTAAAAACGCCAAGCTGAAAGCACTGGAGACATAAAGGCCGTGACCAAGTATCCGGAATAAAAGCAAATACAGAAAGACCACCAAACAAATCCCAGGGTTTTGAGTGAAGTGTTCACCCAAAAAGCCACTCCTGGCAAAAAATCTAAGAGTATGGCCAATGAAATTCTTCAGAACCTGAAGCGAGGTATCAACTGTCCGCGGTGGTCCTAAGGTGGTCCTAATACAGAATACGCAAAAATGTATTTGCTTGTCTTGCGAAAAAGAATACGAATAAACAAAAATAAATAGAATCTTATCCCGGTAGCTCTAACATCTTGCACTCAAGATGCTCTCTCCTGACAACTCTCATGTCAAACACCATGTTGCTTCCAATGAGCTCTTTTGCTGGGTAACAAGATACTGTACTTGTTCTACGCCCTAAAAAAAGGAACACAAAAATAGGTTGCATCGTGTTCCACCGGCCTCTGACTTGGCACTCACTGGCTGCGCCCGCAAATGCAGCGAGAAACGCTGCAAACGCTCCATGTCTTGAAACTGGTTCAGGGCCAGAAGGTGTTTCGACTCTCGAAAGTGCGCTTGGCAAAAGGTATTTTAGTTGGGACATCTTGGGACTGAAAAGGTGTAGTGATTCGCAGATCAACAAGTGGAAATCCAAGGTTTGTTGATGTGCCTTTCAGCAAATTGTCTCTCTCGCATTGCATCTTCTGTGCTTGGTCCTTGTGTCATGTTGCAACATCTCAATCGTGTCATCAAGCTTGTGAAAAGTCTCACTGGTTTGAGAAACTGGCTGCAAGCAATCATTGATCAGGTCTGGATGACACGTTACACCACATCCCTACTGTATGAGGTGAGATTCAACATTGCACACCTTCATAGAATGCCTAAGCACATGCCGTTCTAACTAAGACGCTATGCCGGCTGAGCAACTCTAGTAGTGAGAAAGTAGGTTTTCTCGCCTCTTGTCTCGACTTTGTAGAGCTTACTCAGTGGGTGGAAGCTACAAATGTCCAATTCCAAAGTCCTGAAGGCTCTATATATATATATATAGGTCATGTTTACATATCTGGCTAGTGGACCACTTGGACAGCCTTCTGTCCTTGCAAGGAAAATGGATAAGACTTGCCTTGTCAACACATTTACAGTCGGCCCGCAAGGATGTTCCCTGGGTGTCACACTGGTCCTTTCACTGGCAACTCCATAAAGTGCCAACGGCGGACACCTCCAAAAGCAATGACTAGCTGACTTTCTTTGTAGCGAAGAACCAACTATGCAATGTATTCTCGGCACAGCTCCTTGGCAGCAAGGATTGAGAGTGAAAGCACACAGAACAAGTGGAACAAATGATGTTCTATCTGCAGACTGTGGTCCCACCTCGAGCAGTGAGGAGGTGAATCTGGCTGTCAGCAATCTGAATCTGGCATGGTAGAGTCGCCAATTCTCATCTGCTGAGTTTCAAGACTCTCTGTCAAACCCTCGCAAAACATGACAAAAATGGTTTCAAGTCCTTCTCCGACGCTTTGGGAGATACCAAAACAGTGTTAACCTACACCTTTGATTTCCCCAAATCCACCACCTGAGCGGTCTGAAGCGCATCCTGGCAAGATTGTGCTGCAATTACCGAAGTCGAAAGTGAGCAAAAGTGACTCCTTTTGAGTCACTTGGGCCTCTGGCTCATCGCAGAAGTGACAGGTTCTGGCGCAGAACATTCGCATATACCTAGCACAATCGCATACGCTGTACTATCTTCCAGCTTGGTCGTAGGGGACTGCAAGGCTGTTTGCAAAAACGTTTGAGAACTATCTCAACCTGCAGCTGCTGTTGATCAAACAAAATTGATTTATGTCATATGAACCACCCCCATGGCAACAACATGCAGAGTCCAGTACAATCACGCTGCTCCATCAAGTCCAACCGATTCAATTGTCACAAGCCAAGAGTTCGACAAACAAACAAGCAAGCAAGCAAGCAAACAAACAAACAAACAAGCCATGGCGTGAGGACTCGCAAAATTGCAATGTTTGGAGCACTCAAAGACTCAAAGAATTGCAAACTGGAAGGCCCCGCACGCAAACATGCAAATTTGATGTAAAGTGGTAACTAGTGACAGCAGTTGACTCCTGTGCTTTGCAACCACCCAGTTCAAAAAAGATCGCACTGACAGTCACTTCGAGCATCTCACTCAGCATGACGTTCGCAACCTCCACCCAATGGACCTCGCCTGCACCAAGCACTTCTGCATTGAAAAATTCAAGAGCAATGCAAATTAAATCACGTCTTCAACTTCAAGCTGGCGATGTTGGACAATGTGGTTGTTGCACTTTAATCTTCAAATTTCATCCAGCAGGCCCGATGTACCGGTGGCAATCTTCCCGTTTGTCCTCCACACATGTTGGTGATCATTGTGCGTGCAGAAAGTAGAAAGTAATTTATTGAAATAGTGCCTTGATCCCGTGGATAGACATAAAATCGAGGCTTTGTCCAAATCCCAGCGAAACGACAACATCAGTAACATCAGTTGAAAAATTGAACTTCCTGGCACCAATCGGGCAATTCCAGAGATGCTGCGAAATTTAGGATCCACAAACGGAAGACACCTGCCATCAAGTTCCAAACAAGGCAAACATATGCCGAACCACAACGTCATGGAATCATGACATATTCACAAACATCACAAACCTCTGAAGTCGAAAAATAGTCCAAACAAAAAAAATAAATTGTTGCATTGCTTCTTGATTTTTTTGGATTTCCACTGCAACATAATCGTGCAACAGGACTCTTCATTCTGCGTGGCCATGACCGGTCCCCTAGCTACGACCATTGCTTCAAACTCACCACGAGAACAAACTCACCAACCATGGTGTGTTGTGAGAGGCATGTCAAATGCAATGATGCCTTGGGCTAAGTGGCAATGATTGTGTCAAAGCTGCGTTTCGTCACATCTTCTTGTAACATCTTGTGAAAACAATTGGATTGAAAGCATGCGCCCCTTCTTCTCGCAACGCCCTGATCCAAAACGCTTCCAACTGTGTGTTTACGTGACTGTAAATATGCAAATGTGCATACACAAAAAGAATCACACAAAATGAATGACCAATAAAACTGTTTCACAAAGTGCAAGCTCGGACCACATCTTCCACGAATCAAGCCGACCAAAAGAAAACAAATGAATGAATGAATGAATGAATGAAGGAAGGAAGGAAGGAAGGAAGGAAGGCAAGAAGGAAGGAGCGAACGAACGAAGGAACCGAGGAATGGATCAATGAATGAATGTCAACATCGACGACACAACCAACCACATCCACTCACTCTGAACAGATCTGTCTTTTTGCAACAGATGTGGAATGGTGGTTGCAGAACACCATTGGTCGTTTTGTGATGGTGTGTTGTGGAGAGCGCGCATCGGTCGTTGCAGACAACGGTGCATTGCCAGCAGCAGTAGGTTGAGAGTGAGATTGAGTGAGTTGATGAGGTTCATCAAATTTGCCACCAACCAATTTTTGTCCACCAATTGCCCACTAACATTTGCGCCACATTGGATCTCCGAGTGCCACCACTGTTAAGGTGTCCGCCGTGGTCTCATGCATGAAAGCCTTGAAAAAACAAATTGACATGTTTCTTGGAACAGTGCAGCAAATCTTTTTCCGAACGAAACTACGTTTTATTGTCGTTGCAGCAAGCTCTCGCTTGTCGACTTGTCAGCCTCAGGCCAGCCATGCTGCCTTGGCACAGACCAATGACAGGTGCAATTGCCATGGACAAAGTGATTCTTTTTTTGCACGGGTGGAGCCGCCATGTGCGCAGAGAATGCACAGGTCAGCTTGTGCTACGTGTGGATGAGTCTCCGGCCATGAAAGGGCAACAAAAAGAAACGCAAGCCAAACAACAGCAAAAGCAAAACAAACCCCCCAAAAAAGAACGAAAACAAAGGCATGGCCGGTAAGGAGACTCAGGTAAGTCATGCAAGAGTGAGACAAGTCTTGAAACTCAGGTGAAACCTATGTGGGGCATTGAATTATGGCAAAACGGCTCCTCGTGCTGCTTTGAGACTTGTTGCCTGATTGTTAGTAAGGATCGTTTCCTGCACTAGGGAGAAGGTTGATCCATGTCGGAATGGCAAACGATAGCACAAGTCAAAGACAGAAGCAGCGGCAGAAATGCAACAGCTCTAGAAGTCAGTCGATGGAAAACCACTGCGAAATAGATGCTTGCACTGTCCAAGAGTTGTGGTTGGCTCTGGTTGGCTCTGAGCAAAGGACCGCGAAGGTGCAGTTCATGGACAGGCTTTGCAGCTTCCCTCCACAGAAAGGAGGGAAGCGAAGCAAGGCTACCTTGCAGTGCGCACCTCGAAACAGCTTAGCCAATGGAGGTAGCTCGTCGTTGCAAGGTGGTGGCCAATCAAGTGGCATCAGTGTTCATGCAGCCAGGTGGTCACGAGTGGCTGTCTTCAGTAAGTCATGCAGTCCCCCCAAATGCCTTTGGGTGGCTGGCAATAGAGCAGGTGAGTTCAGTGCCAACTCTGAGAAGAGCGGTTTCTGCTCATCACAGCCAGCGGGGTCTTCTCCGTCTGAAGGGAGAAGAGCTGCTCACAATCAAAGAAAGCCCTGTGGGCAATTTACTGAGATATCGGTGATGTCTACTTCCAGGAGGACGTTGCAGAACATGAAAGCTTCTTTACGAATCTGCCGCAACTTGTGTGGAAGCTAGATGTGCTCAAGATTCACACAATAAGAAAGTTAGATCCCCAAATGGTGTCAATCGACGTGCTGGATGGGTCGACGAAAGCATGTTGCTTGCAATTTTTACAAGCTAGCGGCCCTAGGAAGTTGACACTCTGACGGGAGCTTGAGGGTTCATGTTGAAACTTCCTTCTGGTCGGTTTGGTGAACTCACTTTGAGATAGTGCAAGATGGGAAATATTGACCCCTGGAGCAAGCTTGTTGGTCTCTCCTTCATTTGCGCCAATGTTACCATGTTTGAAGCGAGCAACATTCTGCCGCAGGTAGTTTGACAAGTTGGAGCTGGTGACAGGCCATACAGCTGCTCCAACTGTGTGAATTCCAGGCTCCACTAGGACATGCCTCAGTCGTGGGACCGAATCTTTTTTTTACGAGTGGAGACGCCATGTGTGCAGAGATTGCACAGGTCATCTTGTGCTGCGTATGATTGAGTTATTGGCCAGGACCTCAGTCGTGGGAGGCTGCGCCCCGGACCTTCAGCGAAGGAGGGCTTAAGCCCCCCCTTAAGCCCCTACGAAGGTCCCCCCCTAACCCCCCCCCCGCCGAAGGTACCGAAGCTTGAGCCCTCCTTTAAGCCCCCTCTCAAGCACCCCCTTAAGCCCCCCCTTGAGCCCCCCTTCAAGCCCCCCCTTAAGCTCCCCTTAAGCCCACTGGAGAGAGGGCAGTGGAAGCCTGGAAGTTTGGAGACAGGAACTGAAGGCAGGGAACTGGGGACAGGGCACTTGGGAAAGGGAACTGGGGGCAGGGAACTGGGGGCAGAGAACTGGGGACAGGGAACTTGGGACAGGGAACTGGAAACAGGGAACTGGAAACAGGGAACTGGGGACAGGGAACTGGGGACAGGGAACTTTCTCTCCATTGGTCTTTGGCATTTGGCGCTCGTGCGCTGACCCTTCAGACCGACTTTCGCAGCGAATTCAGGCCCATAGATTGTTTACAGCCAACTTTTCTCATCTGTCTCACCTTCGTACAGAGATTTTTTTTTTTGCACGGGTAGGGGCGCTATGTGTGCCGAGAGGCACAAGTCACCGTCTCACCTTGGTACTGGCCTTTTGGTTGTGTTTGGGTGTTCTTGTTTGGTTTTTGTTTGGCTTTTGGGGTTGCTTGTGTTCTTTTCCCCCTCATCATGTTGTGTTTCCTTTCCCTTCAATAATGACCTGGGCACTTTCAGACAGCGTCCGCACTCGTGGAAAAAGACGTGAGTGTCCGCTCGGTTTTTTTCAGTGGGGAAGCAGTTCTCTGTCTTCTGTGCTGCTCACTGAGATGGAGAAGTGTTATTGCTGCAGGTCTCCGATTCTGACCTGTGGCCGATCCTATCCTGTTAAAATCTGGCGGCAGGAAGAGCGCGACAATGCCTGCTTCCAGGAAGCAGCAGTCCGGCAAGCATCGGTTCGGACATGCAGGACCACACTCTGACACACCCAAGTTGAGCTGACGCAGGGCCGTGCATCCTTGAAACACTCGAGGCCACAGTTGTGCTTGGAGGGCGAGTATGTTGGGCATGGTGCCCAGGTCATCATTGAAGGAAGGGAAATACAGTCTTGGGATGCAACAGCACCCTCGGGTGTGAACTGCAATTTGTGCAAACAGACACCCACCAGGTCTTGGCAGACTCCATACAGAGTAAACTGAGGGCCAA